CCCTCCCGTACATAGAAAAGCGCTAAATTCTTTAACTTGAGATGCCTGGTTCTCTTTAGATAACAGACATTAAGCTTTTAATGTTCCAGCCCCCTGGTCTGTGTTGTAAAGCTCCTGTGTATCCAAGCCCCTCCCCTGCCTCTTGGGAGCAGCCCCTCAGAGCGACCTGAGGGGCTGTCATCCCGGCTCGAAGGGGATCGGGTCCTCAGAATTGTCCACCGAATGAGCGTAACTCTCAACTTGCAGGCTGTGCATTTATTCCAGTCAACACTAGTTTATTCCAGGAATCAAAAGCTACAGTCATGCTTGGTCTCTGAGTCGATCTCCAGGGAGAAGGTCTCAGAACCGTCACCTTACACAGTAAGCTCAGTACCAGGAGGGCCGCGCCTTGAGAGCTCAGGAGACAAAGAAATGTAAAAAGTGACCACCACTGGCCTCTATAGAATGGGTCGCCCGGGGCATCATGACGTCATTCTGGGTCTTCTGATGAGAAGATGATTCTGTTGACTGTTTTCAATGCCTTATTGTCTGAGCTCTGGCTGTGTAACCATCCCACCCCATCCGCAAGGGGGCCTCACTGTTTGGAAAGCACTTGCCGGCTGTGGGTCCCCTTTGCCCAGCGAAGCAATAAAGCTGCCTCTTTTCTTTTAAGCTCCGAGACCTTGTCTCTGGATTATTAGGCTCGTCGGGGACACCCATCTTTCGGCCACAGGGCCTCAGGGCAAACCCACCCTGCAGACACCTTGATCTCAGACGTCTAGTCTCCAGAACTGTGAGACAATAAATTTCCACTGTTCAAATCCCAGTCTGAGGTCCTTTGCAACGGCGGCCCCAGCAAACAGATGCAAGGGGCCACAGAAAACACCGAAGTAATGATTTGTTGAGGGTTTTGACTTCCTATGAAAATAATTACTGCCTCAGGCTAACAGAAAGCCCAAGGGAGCTGAGGTGAGGGCCGGAAGGGAAGATGTGACTGTGCCCAGAAACCCTAACTGATTTCTCAGAAAGCGCTTCCGTCTTCACAGCACAAGGCTGATCCCCATCAGTTCGTCTGATGAAGGAAGGAGCCTTGTCTCACCCAACAGCTGGAGAACGGGCTTCCTGGCTCAGAGCGGAGCTCTTGCTCTGGACGTCAGCGGGGATTTCTCAGCTTTTTTTTTCCCCCAAGCTCCTCTAGGTGCTGCTGGTGGATGCAACTGGTGCTCCAGGTTCTCGTCCCGCCATCCCAGAAAGAATTCAGAGACAAGACACTGTGGTTAACAAAGTAAAGTGGGGATTTATTAAGGGATGGACAGGACACTCTCAGGGGGAGGGCGGGCAGGCTCAGGGGAGCGGCCGCCCTGAGTTTCTTTGGCAAATTGGTCACATACGGTGTAAAAATGAATGGGTGGAATATTCACTGGGGAGGGACGGGTTTGGGTTCATATTCCCTGATTATCATCCCAACTGCACCGTCCCAAAGGGAGGAGGGATTTTGTCCTTATTTAGTCTGGATCAGAAATGTCATGGTGTCGGTGCATGATGGGTACTTCTACTCTGCAAGGCTATTTTGATTGAAATAATGAGCAAAAGGTTACATTCGGACACCAGAAACTCCTTCCTTTTCCCACCTTTCTTTGTTGGCCTCCAGGCCACTCATCACCCCAAAAGGTGTGGCCCCTTATCAGCCCAGAGGTTCCTGCTTTTCCTTCTCTGCCCAGGGACCCCTGGTGCTCACACGATGTGCAGTTTCCTGCATTTGGCCTGTGCCCCTCCTTTCTGCCCAGGTCCTGCCATTTGGTCTACATTCCCCCTCTCTCTGCTCACATCTAGCTGTCTGCCTGCTCTGACAGAAGAGTCCTGCAGCTCTTGTTAAAAACTGGCAGCGATCAGATGCAAAAATAGAGCCAAAGAGAGAGAAGTAACCCAAGTCAGGCCATCTTCCTGGTGGGCCCTTGCCCATTTCCATTTTACAAAACAGCCAATCTAGTCTCATGCTCTCGCAGTTCATTCAGATAAAAAGGTAACTATTTGTCCTCGAAATGAGAGCTTGCAGATGCTCTTGACTAAGAAGCCTAAATAAAATATTTAAGTAGCTGTACGATGCCTATTCCTTTATTGCTAACCTTTTTTTTTTTTTTGCGGGTGTCCCTCTCAGCGTTCCAGCTTAACGTAGCGAGGACTTCAAGCAGGCCACTGACTGAAAGGAGGGAGGGAAGTTGCAGGCCGATGCAGCGCCTCCACCAGTGAACATCGCGATGCACGTGGCGGCCACAGGCCCGGCGCGGGCACACAGCGGCTCTGCTCACTGCCTGCAGAGCTACAGTCCAGAGGACGGCTCCCCACCCAAAGCGCTGTCTTCATCGAGGGCCAGTTCATTCTAGCCGCGAAGTCTGCCCTGTGCTCCGTAGGGGACCTCGCGGTGTCAGCGGGGGTAAATGCGCAGCCTAAAAGTTGAGTTATGTTTTCTTTGGCCGGAGAACTCGAGCCGGGATGACAGCCTCTCAGATGGCCCTGAGGGGCTGCTCCCAAGAGGTAGGGGAGGGGCTGGGATACACAGGAGCTTCACAGCAAAGACCGGGTAGTCCGAACAATAAAAGATTGCTTGTTATCTAAAGAAAACCAGGCACCTCGAGTGAAAGAGTTTAGCGCTTTTCTATGTATGGGAGGGAGCAAACATTTGGGCTCACTAAATCCACTCCTTTGACAAGCACCTGGCTGTCTAGGGCCAGCGTCCTGTCCTTTCTTGCTCTGAGTCCCCTCAGGGGGCACCATGGTGAGTGGCTGCAGAGGCCGGGCTGCGGGCTGGTCCTCACTGGGGGGTGGGGCAGCCGCTGATGGCCTGATGGCTTCAGCGTTCTCTGTTTGCTGATGTGGTTTGCAGTATTTTTTGTTCACAGCAGCAACCTTGGCCTCTACCAGCTAGATGCCAGTAGTGACACCCCCTTCAGCTGTGACAACCAAAAACATCTCCAGGCACTGGCAGATGTCTGGACACGGGGGAGGAAACGGCCCCCACTGAGTACTACTGGCCCACGGAGTAAGAGGGGTCAATTCTATAAGCTGTTACCATGCAAAAAAGGTAAGTTCCGTGGTCCAGATGCAGTGCACATGACGGGATCCAAATACACCGGGGGCGGTGGTAAAAAGGAAAACAGAAATGAAACTGCTTTCTCAACGAAGAGATATAAAACAAAGGCACACTATAATTACTTACCCGGTTTCTATTCTGTGTTAAACACTAGACTTTGCTTGCTTATTTATTCTTTACAGAAGGCCCTTATGTGGACCCCTTTACAGACGTGCTCAAAGACGTTTAGAAATGAGCTTGTTCAATGTTTCGAGAGAAGGATGGGAGTTTCAGGGTCTGACCTGGGATGGAAACTCAAGTCTGGCAAATTCTTATTTTTTTCTTCGCTATATTAAAAACATTTTTTTAAATTGAAATAGTCCATCTGCAAAGTTGTGTTAATTTCTGGTGTACAGCACAGTGATTCATTTATACACATATATATTCTTTTTCATATTCTTTTTCATTAGAGGCCATTATAAGATATTGAATTTAGCTCCCTGTACTATACAGTAGGACCCTGTTGTTTATTGGTTCTATATATAGTAGTGTGTATGCCAGTTTATCCCTCCCCATCCACTAATTCTTTTTTTTTGCTTTTTTTATTGAAATATAATTGATTTACAGTGTTGTACTAGTTTCAAGTCTACAGCAAAGTGATTCATTTATACATATATAGAGAGAGACAGATACAGATTCTTTTTCAAAATCTTTTCCATCATAGATTATTGCAAAATATTGAATATAGTCCTCCGTGTTCTACAGCAGGTCCTTGTTGTTTATCTGTTTTGTATACAGTAGTGTGTATATGTTAATCCCAAACTCCTAACTTATCCTCCTCTCCCCCCACCTCCAGGTCTGGCTAATCCTTTAGGAATGGAGACATTTTGAGAAAGAGAAAATTTCGCTCCATGAGGGCTAACGTACTCAGAGATTAAGAGAACAGCAATAACAAAACACGACTCACATTTGGGACTCACAGTTGGAGACGCTAAGTAAACGCACCACTGAAACAGTTTAACTTCGGACCTGGTTTAGAGCGATGCGCAGGGGTTCTACCGGAGAGGCTCTGGGATTCTGCAGCGTCTGTCCTGTCATCGTGAGTCTGCAGCCTGGCCTGGCCTCCAGGGCTGCCCATTCACCCACCTGCCAACTCACTGCCATCCGTAGAACGAGGCAGCTCACCTCACGATTCACAGCAAGTGTGATGGTGCCTTCCAGTCTGCTTCCACTGTCCCAGCATAATTCATAAAAACGTCTCCCTTTACTCTCCGAAGTGCCCCAATTTGGATGACAAGTTTTATGACCCCCGTACTGCTAGTCCCATTATGTCCTGAGCTGAAAAGTTACCAGGCCAGCTACTCTATGTCATTTTATACCATCAGATTTGCTGTGTGAAAACCCAAGCCATTATCTGCTTGTGATATTTAATAATGCACACGTTACTGCCAAAAATCTCATGTCAACCTAACACCTACAAGATAATGTCCAAGAAGGTCCTGGCCAATTTGACCTCACTTTGGCTCTCCAACCTTATCTCCCACCCCCAACACAACCTCATGTATTAGTCAATATTCCTGGAACCAACCATGCGTTCATGCCTCTGGGCTCTCCCACATGGCATTCTCAATGCCTATATTCCTTCCAACATTCTGTTCGATAACATTGATCACCATGATGAAGCTCGCAACACCCTCCCCTGTGCTCTTCACTTGCCTATTGAAGACGCCCTTCAAATGTCATCTCCTCTAAAGAACCCCTGATGCCCTCAGACGTCAGCTGCTTGTCCCTGCATGTGCTCACACTGCACTTCACCATCCTTCTACTAATGGTTCTTTCCATCCTAAAGTTGCAGGTTCGTGTGTCTGTGCCACTCATACTACGAGAAAGTCACCCTTATCTCTGTATCACGACTGCTTGCGCTCCCTGGTACGCAGTTGATATTTGATAGGTACTGGCTGATGAATGACCACCACCGATGACTGCTGAAATCAGAACTGGCCACATTTTGGACGAGCAATAGGAATTTACCGAGTGCCTATCACATTCCTTTTGCTTTGTAATCCGCACAAGTCAGGGCCTGCGAGGCACAGTGAGAAGTCAGGTTATCGCATCTTATTTCTCATGTTGCTTCTTTGTCTTTCTGGGAGATCAAGTAGGTCCATGAACTGTGTTAGATCCCAGCCTTCTTATCCCTAAAGCAAGATGTCAAGACTAGATAATTTCTAAGTTTCTTTTTCCCCTCCAACTGTAAGTCATCCTTGTTTAAGGTAACATACCAGCCTTCTGACTAATCGTCAGTGAATCAGCACTGACTGAACCTTAGCATGGATATATTTTTTTCTCAACATTTCTACAAATCGTTTTTTAAATTGCAAGATAATATGTTAGTTAAATATTTTGAACAGGTCAAATAAAGTAAAATAGGAAAGATTCCCCTATGCTCTGAACACACACACACACACACACACACACACACAAAATCCTTCCTGCACAGAAATTATTGGTAATAATATTCTGCTAGTTCTCCTACCATCGCTCTCTGTTCTGGAGTTGATACATCAGTACCTATCTGTCGATCAGTCGATCTATCTGTGTTCCCAATTCTTGCCCCCAGCTCTGGCAAGACCATCAGGCAGTCACCAATACAATACGGGCTGCTAAGGAGACTTAGTGAAACTTGGAAAATGCCCCTAAATTTGGAGTTTGCTGTCCCCAGAGGAGAATCTGACATCACCCAAACCATCTGGATCGTGGAAGTGCCTTAAAAAACAAATCCTTGCCTGAAATAGGCCGTCACGCTGATCGATACTTTCAGAAGCCCTTTTTTTGTTTACTTTTTACCCCCAAATTAGTCTGCTTGCTAAATTGACACAAAGTGGTTTAAAAAGTAGGATCTGTGTACAGTGTTGTAAATTCTCCAATCTTAGCACATGCATATGAAAATTTATAGAAAGAAGATGACACGATGGGGGATTGGAAGTACAGTGTGATACAGCTCCTGCTCTGAGCACACCCTGTTACTGCAACTGATTTATAATCAAACTGACAGAAACATGGGGAGCATCTCACAGGTTATGAACTCCTTTTCTGTGCATTATTTCAGTTGAATCCTGGGAACAGCCTGTAACAAATCTCTATCTGCAGATGCTAAAGGTCCAAAAGGGTACAGATCATGCAGACAGGGCGTGGGACATTCAGGATTTAAATGCAAATATGTGCCTGTGACATTGATATGGCCCCTGAGGTTCAAACTCTAAACCCATACTGAGTGAAACCTGCCCACAGGAATATGGCTTTGCATGAAGTGTCAAGTCTTTAGAAGTCAGCTTTGCAAGAATTTATGTGGTAACCTGGAATTCAAGTTATGATGATGACAGGCTGAGGAAACTGATAAATACCTTGGAACTCAACTGCTGAAAGTCACGTTTAAACACAATCCCATCTCAACAAGTTGGTGGGAAACCCAGCAGAGCAGATGCTACGATTTCCTACATCCGACTCAGCTGAAGGATGAAAAAACTCAGAGAGGAGAATATTATTCCTGTTTGGTTGAAGGGGCTGATTGATGCTGCATCTTTACCTCTTTGTGAAAAAACCTGTATCATTCCAGCACCCCAAAACCTCTTTCACACCACCCCAAGTGGGAGATGAAAGCGAAAAAAAATGCCGTTGATCATAATGCTGGCTCTTATCAAGCGTTAAGCTGTTTGTAAACAGCTGAATGCTCAGATAATTTTTCCAATTTGCATCTAGATATTGGTCAGAGTGTAGCTGCTGGCAAAGAAAATGTAATGAAGTTTTAAAGATCTTAAAATAATAATAAAAAAAAAGTGCTGCCATTAAATGTGTGTCTGCTATGGTCCAGGTGACTCACACAGCTGACCTCTCACTTCCACAGTAATCCTGAAACAAGGTACCGTCTAGCTCCTTTTGCTGCACCCGCGGACATTTCAGAGGCTGTGTGAAATTTGCCTCTGTTCCTGAGACCGGTCAGTGGAAGCTCCGACACTCAGGTAAGCCTGTGGATTCCCCAGTTCACCAGGGTTTCATGCTCTTGCCCTGAGACACAAGCAAGCCAAAGACTGGGAGAAGGAAGGACTTATTATTACAAGTAAGGAGAATGCCGGAGATCTTACCCAAAGTGGCGTCTCCCTGAACAGCTAACCTGGGGAAGGTTTAAGCTAAAGGTATAATGCATACTCATGAAGGGGCCTGGGTGGTGGACAGAGTCCAAGCTCTTATTGACTGAAGTCACGGGGGTCAGAGAAAGTCAACAGCATCAGCCCTCAGGTTCCGGCTGACCTGGTGGCTGAGCACTTCAGGCCCATCTTTACCGCTGACACAGACCCGGGAGACTTCACCACTGACACATCATCTTTGATCTTGTTACTCCTCTTGCCTGACGGCAGTCACGTGTCCTTTTGTTCCCGCAAGATCATTAATTACTGAGACCTGTTCAAGGCAAGCGTTGGGGCCAGGCTGAGATCACCAAACGGCGTCAGCCAAAAATGGCTTCTCTTATGTCAAGAAAGTCATGCCTGTTCCTTCTTCTCCAGGGACGCCCTACCCTAGCTGCTTACAGAGGGACAAGGAAGGAGACTCGAAGAGGTATTTTGAAAGGCTGAACCACCCTTAGGTAATCCCACGTAATGCTAGTGGTTCCATCACTACCACCAGGGTTGAGAGTCACCCTCAGCGTGTGGTGGTCCTCAACGTCTAGATCTCCAAATCTCCAAAGGTGGCTGCAGTTACCATGTCTTGGATTTGCCTCCAAAATTCTCTAATGTGTTTGTGAAATACTTCATATCCCTCCCCCTGCACACATCCATCATAACCACACTGTTTTTTTTTTAATTACAATGAAAGAATGAAGTCCCTGAGTGCCACTTAAAGAAACCTGCATAACTTGATTCAACCCTGCTTCTCCAACGTCTATGGACCTGCAAAAACATCTTTCCACCGTCAGATGCCTTCACATCTCGAGGAACAGCCGTTCAGAGGAGCCCACGGGGAAGCCATCCCCGAGCAGGCTGCTCTCTGTGACCTTTCTGACTCAGGCCTTCCACTGCCCGGGAGGTGAGGCCAGAACAGGGAAGTCTCCGGGCCTCCCCTGCAGGGCTGTCTTCCCTGCAGTGGGGTATCTGCTTGGGATGTGAAGTGCTCTGTGCAAGAAATGCCACACTCTAATCCTGCCACCTTTCAAATCAATGAGGTAAGTGACAGCAATTCAAGTTCCCTGTCAGCTTAATTGAAGGAAGCGAAACACAATTAGCGGGCATCAGTGCAAGGCCGGTGCCATGACACGGAGCCCCGAGGGGGAGGCCAGCACAGCGGGCCGCGGGGAACGATGAACTCCTCCCCTCACAATTTTGTTCAAAGTCTTAATTACAATGCTACTGGAGGGGGAAAATTGTTTTATAAATGCCATTACAAACACAGGCTGATTGCAGAAATCTTTTCATCGAAAAACCAATTAAACCATTATTTCCTCTCAGATTACACTGGTAAAGTATAAGTTTTTCATTTAGGAAAGCAGTTTTGCAATCTTATGTTCATCATATTTAGAGAGCTTTTTTTTTTAAAGTACCAACAGGCCAAAACGATCTTAGAAACTCTATGAAGAAGATAATAAATTAAAGATTTTAAAAAAAGGACTATCACGATGCAGACAAAAGATTCAATGAACTTTGAAAAAGTCATGTAAAAATCGTTTAAAAAAAAAACCTACTGCCAAATTTGACAAGGTTTTTTTCGCAACCACTAAAATGCAAGCTCTCAGAGGGCAAGGAGTTCTGCTCCGTTCACACGTGTGCTGGCCGCACAAACAAAACAGAAACAAGTCGTTGACAGAAAGCTGCTCTCCGACTGGCTCTGACGTGGTCCCTTGAATTTCATACGTTAGAAACAAAGGGCTGAGTTGAGTCAATTGAAATTTCACAGATTTTCTTCAAACCATTTCATGTTTGTAGATAGATAATTAATTCCTGACCAGAAACAGAAAAGATGAAAACAGTCACCGAAAAGGGATGTCATTTTGCAGTCGAGCAAGACCTTATGGGGCCTTCCCGGGACGGGCCCCTCCCCGACACCCTCTCTACAGCTCCTGTCTGAAGCACCCAGGTGACAGTATCTGATGCATTTCCTGAGCTGCTTTACAGCTGCGAAAACCCCCACCAAACGGAAGAAGTCAGCTACCTGATGGTCTTGGGCACATAGCCCCTAACCTGCTGGTGCCTCAGGACTGATAACGTTAACCCCTGTGACATCTCCTTGTCATGTCACCATCAGCCAATCAGAGAACTGTGCACGAGCTGATCACAGACCCTGGGACGCCCCTCCCTCGCTGGGCTTTTAAAAATGCTTGGCTGAAACCCACCAGGGAGTTCGGATCTTTTGAGCACTAGCTGTCCTGGACTCTTCGCCTGGCACCTGCAGTCAACGCTGCAGTTTCCTTCACCGCAGCCCAGCGTGAGACGCTTGGCTTTACCACGCGCAGGCGAGTGGACCCAAGTTGGGTTTGGTAACAGTGTCCAATTATAGGGGAAATCGAAGAGACAAAAGGCCGTGTATGCAGATAAGAGGGAAGAAGTCACGCTAGAAAGAGGCTAAAAGTCACAAACGATTTGGGATGACGGTACGTGGGTGCATGTTCAAGCCGATGCCTTGAAGTCCAATGATGCCTAACCCCGTCACTGACCGAAAACCCCAGCTCTTGCCTGCTCTTGCTCCCTGAGCCCGACTTTACTTCAAGAGGCTCTTTCACTTGATGGGAAAAGATAAAACACTTTCTGCTTTGAGAAAAGGCTGGCAGACTAAAATCTGTGCAGACGAAGCAGAGATGATTATAAAAGGATTATCTGCTTCACAGAAGGATTCTCTGTGGGCTGATTTTAAATAGTGAGCTCGGTGTTTACTTACAGAGCATCAGTTGTGTTGGGGGTGAGGGTAGGACGTGGCGA